GAATACTTTCAAAAAGATCTGATCACAGAAAACTCATAACTGGGATCCTATAAAGTCGATAATTGATACCAACAAAATGATGTGTCTTTAAAGTAGGAAGTTATCTTTTTATTCTGCAAGAAATTACAACCATTGACTCACATCTTCAGCGATGGATGGAAGTATTCAGATCCTTTACTTCAAGTAAAAGTACTAATACCACACTGTAAAATACTCTGTACAGTTAAAGTACTAATACCGCACTGTAAAAATAGTCTTAGTGTCTGGTCTGGTGTGACCTGGTTTGGTCTGGTCTGGTCTGGTTCAGGACTCCAGCCCTGGCTGTTGGAGGTCTGTTTAACCAGCAGACGGCCGTGTTTCAGCTCGGTGAACCGCCCACCTGGCTCCTGCTACAGGAGGCCTGGATTACTAAACCATTAAGCTATCAAGAGCTTTTGTTTTGAAAATATTTCTGTGGGCCTTTTTTCCCCTAATTGCCCGTCAAAATCGACTTAACCGCCGTCAGAAAGGAGAGCCGCATACGCCGTTCATTAATTCATACCGGCTCTATTCACACTGGATTTGGATTTCACAACCTAGGGATAAAAATACGCCAACATGTTCACATGAGCATTTTAATATTGTTTACACTCAATCAGCCGTAACACTGCTGCTGGTTATCAAAACAGCTCCTTGTAGCTTCATCCACAAGTCTTTTTCTGGGTCGTTCTTATTTTTCCTCCAGTTGACTCATGACACAGTCACAGTGTCATAATAATGATAATAATAATAATAATAATGATGCTAACTGGCTCATTTGAAAAAAGCATGTTGTGCGGAATACAACAGGATTGGGGAGGTTTGTGGTCACCTCTTTTTCTGTAAGATGATCAGCTGGAGAAGAACATCGCTCGACCCGCACTGAAAACAGAGGATGGAACCAATGGGATCCTCTCTCTCTCTATCTCTCTCCTTGTCCATTAAATAAAACCATTAGAAGACACAGATCTTATCTGAAACAAAGCAGCACTGGAGGATTAATGCAAGTAAAATTATATGCAAATAAAGATTGAAAGTGCTTTAAATGTTTATTTTCTAAATATTTAGGACATTTAAGGAAAATAGCTAAAAATATCAGGTAACTAAAGCTAAACAGCTACAGCAAGAGCGAAAGTAGCTAAAAGACACCAAGTAGCTAAAGTAACTTTAGGCCTCAGGTAGCTAAAGCGTAGTAAAAGATGTTAGATAGCTTAATCTTAACAACTCATTCAAGTAGGTCTAAAGCTCAAGTAAAGTACATATGTTAAATTAGCTAATAGACACCAAAGCTAAAGTAGCTGAAGTTATATTAATTCATTAAATGATTAAGCTAAAGCTTAAGTAGCTTGGGCATCAGTTAGCCAAAACTGAAGTAGCTAAAGAATATAAGGAAGCTAATAGTGGCTAAATGATGTAAGCTAAAGTAGCTGAAGCTCAATAAGGTTATACGGTTATTTATTGTCACCATACAGCAGGGTTGTGCAACAAATGCAGTTTGTAGTCACATTTTACACAAGACATTGTCAAGCTTCAGGCTGCTAAATTATATTAGGTAGCCAAAGCTAAAGAAGTTAATAGATGTGAAGCTAAGCTACATTGAGGTAGGCCTATAGTGTGAACAAGCAGCGGCAGTCTTCCAGCTCTCTGCTCTAGTTCAGTGGAGCTGAAAGAGGAGGCAGTAGACCTATCAGTGTCACTCTGCCCGGAGCGGCTCTCTTCATCCGGCCCTCTGACATACTGGGACCGGTGCCAGCGCTAGAGGACATGCTGGTTTTTAGCAGCTGGAAGACGTCCCGACAAGTAAAGCAGCCGAGAAACAAGCCAACGACGTGACGGTGAGTTCCGAGGGGAAGGAACCGGTCAAACGAGCTTCTGGAATAGTTCACTATATATTCAAATAATGTCGACTCAGAATCATCTTTATTGGCCAAATATGTATCAATGTAAAGCTGGACAAAGAACAGACCGGTATGTGAAAAAACATAGGTGTAGTCTAAATAATAATAATAATAATAATAATAATACATAATATGAATATAAAAAGCACTAAAACAAACAACACCATTTAATCAAAATGTTTCAATATAATTCAAGTGATCTGTAACTATACAAATACTGCAAATAAAACAAAATATGTATTTATGTATAAACCGTAGATTCGATTATATGTTTTTATGTACAGAAGGTAATGTAAGAGAGATTATTTTGTCAGCGAAGAGAAGAAATCACTGATCAGCCGTCTCAAAGCCAAAAAAGATTATTGACGCAGCCGACAAACGACACCAATATGACCTCAAACAGCAGGGGATGATGGGTAATCCTGTGATGTAGACGGTGGGCCTGTCCTCGTGTTTGTTTATTCATCAATCTGACAGATAAACATGATCTGAATGAAGCTGTTTTTAAAGGTTTTGGATCCGAAAGTCACACAACAACATAAAGTAACTAAACTACTGCTCTGAGAGCTTAAATCAGTTTCTATGAATGGAGTCTGGTGTGTCTGAAGAGAGCTTAGAGGACAGCAGGAAGGTAAAGAGGTGGACATATTCTAAATATAGCGTACGCTTAGACTGATACTGACTGTTTAAAGTGTCTAAAACTCCATCTACTGTAGTAATACACTGACTATGTATAAGCACCTCATACAAACAGACTTTACTGTTATCAGAGTGTCGCAACATTATGGGATTCTCAGATTTCTGTATCAGCAGGGAGGAGGCTGCAACATGCCTCAACAGAAATGTCATTTGTTAAACACTTTGGCAAACGTGTCATGTAACACACACACGCACGCACGTGCACACACACACGCACACGCTCGCACATGCACACACGCGCTCGCACATGCACACACACTTACACGTATCTGTAGCCCAGGTTTCAGATCTGTGATTGGAAATGAGGCGACTAATGATCTAAACCTGCTCTACCTCTCGCTTACTGTTCAGATTTACTCCCCCCCCCCCCCCCTCCCTCTCTGTGCGGTAGACTGGATTACTTTCGGTGTCGGAGCAGAGACCAGAGACCAGGCGTCATGTCAGGGATTAACTCCAGAACAAACACTCTTAAGTCATCGAGGGAGAAGAAGAAGAAGGAAAGGTGTGCCGCTTTATTCTTTTACTATAGTGCCGTGAACGTTAAGATTTTAAACACACAGTGAAATAATAAAGACAAGTTTCACTCCTTTAACATTCAATGTTTAGAGTTATTATATAATTATTTACAGTGTGTTTCTTCAATCAACATGTTCTCACAGATCACCCTTCTTATATGCTATTTTACTTTATATTGCTGGGAACATTAAGATCTTAAAGACAGTAAATCAAAAAAGACATTTTTCAAGTTTTACTCCTTTTTTAAAAATATTTGTACACCAAAATCTGTCTAGAATTCTATGTTTAATCAGGGACAAACAGTAACAGGAACGTATAGTGCTATTAGCACATTATTATGCCTTTATAACAATGCTTATTATTCTATAATGATTCTCATAGATCGTACTTCATGTCCTTTAAACTCACCATGTTTTCACAGTGGAAAGTACAACAACCACACTAGTGACTTCCATTTTCTTCAGATAATAACGACAAAGCTGAGACTTGTTTGGTTTGAGTTCGATGGAGTTTCGGTGTTTCTTGTATTAAAGACACGCTCTATGTTTGTCCTCCCAGCTCACTGGTGATGCCTTGAAAACTCAGATGAGACCTGAAATTAAATCAATTTAAAAGGAGATGAAACTAAATTGTTTACAGTCAGGAAATCTTATGTGCAAAATGAATTTCTTGGTGCGACAGTCGTGTATATTCGATATTTACGGTAGCAGCTCTATGCTAACGTTCACCACTTTGGTCCAGCCTGAATTATTTGATCTAATCTTGGCTGGATTGTCACCAAATTTGGCACAACCAATCACGGTTGTCACAGGATGAATTCCACCGACTTTGGTGATATTCAGACTTTTCCTCTAGCACCATCGGCAGGTTGACTTTTATGGTTTTTGATGACAATCTTAACTGTTGGATGGATTGTGATGAATTGTGGTTCATCGTTCATGTTCCCCACAGGATGAACCGTCATAACTTTGCGGACTTTTCATCCATCGCCATCAACAACATTTTAATACCTCCAAATACTTTTAGAACTAAACACATTCACATCAGCCTCTGCTGAATTTGTGTTTACTGCTAATTAGCACATGTTAGCATGCTAACACGCTAAACTAAAATGGTGAACTATAAACCTGCTAAACATCAACATGTTAGCACCGCTCTGCTATTGATTGTAGAATTACATTATTTCCTCTTACCCGTAGTGCTATTAACAAATCTCGATCTGTTGTAGAGTTTCATGTCGGAACTATGGAACTGCTCACGACAAGGATTATCCTGAGTAATGCAGGTTATGATTTCTTGGAGAGAGACATTACTTTTGAGTTTATTAAATGTATTTTTCTCACACCAAAACAATATACTGTAGTTTGATGAATAGCACTACAGGTGAGAGGGAAAAGGAAAATTGTATTTGTGGTCATCTTAAAACAATAACTTGTGAGATTATTTAGATTTTTGTCATCTGATATGAAATTACTTTTGCACGTCTGAACACATGTTAGCTGCTCCACCTGTTCACATGAAGAGCATGGTGATGTCATCTTTAATCCCCGGGTCACGTTATCCTCACAACGTGTGCACGGTGTTATCCAGGTCTTCTGTTGCACTTGTTCTGTTTATTAGTGTTTGTACATGTTGGATTATCTTCAGCACTCTGTTTGCACCGTTCTCAGCTCTTATCAGTATCCAGTTCTCTGCTGCTGCCGGATCATCCCAGTTTCCCCTCAGGGATCATACACCTTTTATCTAATCTCATCTGAATCCTCTTCTTTTTTATTTTTGGAGCCATCTTGTCGTGTTTTCATGACTGAGATGTTCTCTTCTTCTCCTTCTTCTTCTTCTCCTCTACCTTCCTTCCTGCCTGTCTGTCAGCCGATGGAGAGGCGACAGCAAGTCTCCACGCCGTAAACCGATCCGCCTCGGAGAGAGCGCAAGGCCGAGCGGGAGAGGATTCCTGATATGGATCTACCTCAGAAACTCAGCCAAACAAAGCCTCACCTGTTTTCAGCGCCCTGCCTTGTTCCTCCTCCACCACCTCCTCCTCCTCCACCACCACCGCTGCACCACCAGACTCCGAAAATCCACTTTGTCAATTTGTGCATTTTCTCCTCTGGTTTTGTTCCCGTTGGGGATTGTGGACGCTTTGATACACAGAAATACCTGTTAGTAGTTGTCGATCCTTCTTTCCAAATACCTCCACCCACCCTCCCCTCCTCCACCGGTCTCACCGGAACAGAAAATTACCCCATTTACCCTCCTCCCTTCTCCATTTTGGGTGTCCCAAATCGGGGCCCCCCGGGGCAGATCCCAGACATAAAAGTTAGCATTGAGGAGCCGAGGGTCCGATATCAGTTAATGTGAGATACAACTAATTAGTCCATTATCGGGCCCCCGCTCTCACCGGCTCATAAATTGGAGCCACTCAAAGGTCGTTTATTATTTATCAGAGTGGGTGAGGGAGGGGGAGGAGGAGGGGGAGTGCGGCTGGTGCTCCGGTTTGCTTGTTCAACATATCAAGATTAGTTTCAACTAGCCCTGTTGGATGACTGCAGCCTGCAAGCACCACACACACACACACACACACACACACACACACACACACACACACACACTTCATAACACACACTCCTGGTCTCTGTCCGGCTGCAGGAGCCCGACAGAGATTCAAACAGAATTCCTTTTGTGTTCCGTCTGTGCAGAAACTTTGAATTGAGAGTTCAATGATCGGTCAATGTGTGACTGCATTATCAATGTGTTATGAATGTTGGATGATAACTTGTTATAGTAGTTTGTGTCTGTTCTGTTAGAAAACATACGACGACCCGATGAAAATACTTCATTGCAAGAAAAAGTCCTGCATTTAAAAAGTCATAGTATAGCATACACATAGTATAAC